TTGCGATGGAGGTTTCAAATCGGTGGTTTCTGGAAAGGCGATTTTCTTCAAAAGTTCTCTGATGTGCAATTTCATAGAGTCAACAAATTTAGAAAATCTATTTATTATCACTTCCAACTCGGTTGTGATGGTTATGTTGGATGTACCTTCCTTTGACGGCTCGTAGTCATCAAATCAGAGTCTTTTCTAATGAGTGCAAATTTCATCCATACGTATGAGGGAATTAAGCTTCATTTTTTTATTTATAGAAATAAGACAAGCACATGGAAGTCCGTAAGTCGTCCTAATTGTACATCTGTCATATCCCAAATTTGTTTGTCTTAGTGTTACACTCAAAATTATTTTTAAGCTTAGAGTTTTATAAAATTATTTTGGATTACCCTGACATTTTGAGTTATATAAATATTTCTTTTCAAGTCTATTTAAAAATATAATAATTTATTTCAGATTATTTATATTTTTAATTGTTTGTCTTCATATACTTTTAATTGACTTGTTATTTCAAATAAACAAACATAGTACAATTGATAAGGAAGCATATCTTAGAATTATGGGGTCAAAAATTCAAATCTTAATTGGTGCAGTTTGGATATTTTTATTTATTTGTTACTAACTATTTCTATTTTTAATTATTTCCAAAATCACAAAAAAAATTATTTTTTAATATTTAAATATTAATTTTCATATTTTTTATTATGATATTTTTAAAAATAATTATTTATTTGATTTTGTGCACTTTTTACCAAAATTGAGTGCAAAAATTATAATAAATACTAAAAATATTTCCTTTTCTGATTAGTTGTTTCTTATTGATCAATTGATGTCAATTTGTGTCATAAACAATTTCTGATTGGTCAGCTTACTGACCAAGGAAGATCTAATTTGCCAATCAATTTTATTTTCCTAATTTGTTGACCTAATTATCATTATAAATAGGTCATTCTTTCACACTAGTTTTCATTCACAGTTTCACAATCTCAATCTTTCACTTATTTTTGGTTTATTCCAGGGTTTTTAAACAGAAACTCTGAGAAACAGATCCAAAAATTTCCAACAATCCTTCGGCCCTTTCAATCCAACACCCTCAACCGCCGCCTCATCGCTGTTCACGCCTCCCTCTTCGTACAAGTTTGTCTTTTATTTATTTTTTATATATATTATTATTATTACTAAAGTATTTTAAGAAAAAATAGATTTTTTTTCTTGAGGGCCTTAAGACCTACTTCTATTTAGTGCATGTATATAATTCTATCCATTTATAATCACACCCATTGTTTACTTCATCAACTATAATTCACATTCCTTTGTAATTTGAACCTAAATCTAATATCTGGATTTAGGGCCCTGTTAATTGCACCCCAGCCTTTTACTTATAAACTGAAAATACACCCATACTTAATTAATTAAAATTATATTTTTTTTTACATTTTCTTTCATCTATCTATCTATTTATTTACTTTCTTGTATTTTCATAATTAATATTTACTTTTATAATAAATTCTAAATCTATTTATTTATTAATCCAAATCTTTATTTTTACTAACCCATTCAAATATTTCTTTAATTGCATTAAAATTTTTTTTTTCATGCATTATAAAAGATTTTCTTCAAATATTAATATATTTTAAAAAACATCTAACCAATCAAATATTAACCACTTTTTTTACTAACTTAATAAACTCAAGATTATTTTTAAAAAGGATTATGAAAATACTTTTAATCGACTGCGAACTTCGTCTACAAATTCCACTATTCACACACCCAAACTTGGTTCAAGGAGAATTCGAGATATTTTCATAATTCATAAAAAACACTAACCAAACAACTACGAACTACGAATTGAGACTCTGATTCCTCATAAGAGGATACGTGGGCATACGACTAAAATCGCGGTGAGTTCCCCTAATAAAAATTAAAACCATCCTAAAGATTGTAATTTTAAACCCTAGTATCCTTGTGAACAAGGTAGATGAGGGGTGCCTAACACCTCCCCTTCCTCTAAAAATGAGTCAACAACTTAGAATCTCTGATCAAATTAGGGTTATCCTTTATACTCCCTTCCTAAAGATAAAAATTAAGGGTGGCGACTCTCATTTTAAAATCGGTTACAACAACACCCACACTTCAAACTATCTAGCCCCATTGTTTTCGATCGCTTGACTTCATGATAAATGAAATTCAATCCCGTTTGGGATATGTTGAGAACTAACTGTGTGTATAGAGTGTTATTTTTGAATCAGTGTTCTAATACAATTTTGCTCCTACCAAAGGTTGTTTGAATTTCATTATGTTGGTTTTTGAGCATTTAGTTTACTATGTCCATTCTCTACAAAGGTTTCCCTTGCTATCACCCAACTACTTCTTCAACGCCGTATGTGTAGATTCCACTCTATTAGTTGTGTGTTACCCAAATTTCTAACTCGGCCTGTCCAAGCACATACAACTTTCTCTTTCACCTGATCAAGAATAGTAGACTCAACATATTTCAAGAGATCGGGATATTCTACACACAAGTTCCTGAAGTGTACCACATTCTTAGTATACAACTCTTCCCTAGTATAATTAAGAATATCAGTCCATGCACCCATTATCTTCTTAACCACAACACCGACTTATATCATGTTTCCAGTCTATTAGTTGTTGTGTTACCCAAATGTCTAACTCGATCCGTCCAAACACATACAACTTTATCTTTCACCTGATCAAGGATAATAGACTAAACATATTTCAAGAAATCGAGATATTCTACACACAAGTTCCTGAAGTGTACCACATTCTCAGTATAAAACTCTTCTGTAGTAGAATTAAGAGTAAGTTTGTAATTATAATGAACTTTAATTATTGAAGTAAGTATGTTTAAGCAATGTAATTATTGAAGTAAGTTTCTATGAATAATGTAATCCCTTTGTTTGACAGGTTGTTGGTTTATTATTGATATAAAATTTATTCAAATCTGATTAATTTTGGACATAGTTTGGCATAGTTTGCATAAAGTAAGTTTTCTAATTTATCATAAAGTCACTTATAAAATTGAGCATAGTTTTCCTCAAGTTGTCATTCTTTGGCATAATTATAGAGCAGTGACATTGACATTATAGTAATGCTAATTTAGAAGTCAACAATTTGAGCTCAAAATGACATGATAACTTTATCATTAAAATAGCATATTCAAACAGATCAATTACATGGTAACTTAATACATCAACAAATTTCAAGTAGTTGCTCAAAGTTTGCAGCATAACAAAATTAATACATATATTGTAACTTAATATCAACAAATTATACATAGTTTGCAACTGAGAAATACAACAAAAATTTCAAAATAGGTATTTTCCATCCTCATTGAGTCAAGCTTTTTTTGAATGTCATCCAAACTTTTCATACCCTTCTTGATTGGCTGCTCCGAGGTATCCTCTTCAACGAGTACAACTGGGTTTTCAGGGTGCCTTCTAGGTCCCTTGATGTATTTATTTTTTACAATCTTGAGTCTCTCACTCTTTCTGGTATGCACCTCAGCAGTTGGGACGTGTTTCACCTCAGCGGTTGGGACATGTTTCTTCCTTGCATTGATCATATCATTGACCTAAATTATCAATTAAGAGCCATAGTCAATACTTTAATAAGATTGAAAAAGAAAACTATGTAATAGGCTACAACCAAACTTACTGGATCATTGAAAGCTGTTTTGACATCTCCATGACATTTCTTGACTTTTGGTGCTGACTCAAAAAGTATTCTTAAACCAAATTTCTTTGAAGGGCTTTTGCTTACTGCAACATGATTTTTTATAGGACTTATGTCAACATTGAGTGGTGGAATTTCAAGAACATTCTCCTCCTCATTGTTGATATCATTGAGAATTACCTCAAGTAAATCTGGATCTATTTCATCAAGATATCCTAGCTTTTTTTGCCTTTGATTTTTTGAACATTTCTAGTTTGACTTGCCTGTGTGGGTAGTGCAGTTGTGGTGACATTTTAGTTACTATGTAGAATATCTGTTTGTTCTTCTTACATGTCCTAGTGTTGTGACCATATTCCATCCCATCCTAACATTTTGGTCAGTTTTCAGACTTCCATGACCATGTTTCCACCACATCCTAACATTTTTGTAATTAAATCCAGGATCCCTTCCCTTAATTGGATCACAGGCATCAAAAAATGTCCAAGAACCAGAGTTTTGACCATTAAAAGCATAAACTTCTCAACCCTCGTAGGTTAAAATTGGATCTTTTACAAAATGAACCTTTGTGTAAAATGTTACCTTAAATAAAGGCATCTCTAGAAAATGGAGTGAAAAGGACAGTAAACATTGGTTTCACAAATAACAATTGAATATGGAAAACCCTACTCAGTCAATACACTAAAAAGATAAATAAATAGACCACACCAAAATTCGATAAAATGGAATTTAATCTTAAACAACTGGACCTACCTCAGATTCAATGTCGATGGACCACAAGCATGCACCTTTCAACTTGTTTCTAGGACCACAAAGATATCGTGATAGTACTGTAAGTACGAGTGTGAAGCCACAACAAAAATACACAATACGTGACAATTAGAATGTTGAACGAACTGTAAAACTTGAATGGACGAATAAAGATGGAAGTGTGAATCGAATATTCACCTCCTTTTGAGGACAAACCTGGAAGTGGAAAGAGATGGACTTTGTTAGGGCTTCCTTCAACGAAAAAACCCTTTGTGTTGCTATCTTTACTCTAAGTGCATATAAAACTATTTTAACGTGTCCAAATGATGTTAATAACGTGGCATTCAATTACTCAACATAACAACTTAAAAAATTTTAAAAAATGCCAACCCATCGTCCACGTCAGCATCCGGTAAATGGAATTGACGACAGAGATGAAAAATAGAGACGTAAAACTTTATAGAATAAATAAAAGAGAGAAAAAAAAAAGATACTAGTTCATATTGGTATAAATTAAAATTAAAATTGATGTAAATAAATTGTACAAGGAATGGGAGCAACATTAGAGAATGAGTAACGAAACCAAAGCAGCAGAGTATTTCTGCAAGGACTTCGAATGGGAAGAACTCAGATCAGAAATTGAATCAAACCCTTCTCTTCGCCACCATTTCGATTCATCATCTTCTTCTAACTCGCAATCACCTCAATCAGACGTTCAAGCCTGGAAGCAATTTCACACTCGTCACTCCTCCGGCAAATTCTTCAAGGTTCGGTTCCATTACATTCCTTCTTTTCACACCTCCCACATTCACTTCACTCACCCCTTTTTTCAGGAGAGACGCTATTTGTTAAAGGAGTTTCCTCAATTGCTTTCCTCTCACCCGAATTCTAACCCTAAACTGTTGGAGGTTGGTTGCGGCAATGGAAGCACCGTTCTTCCTATTCTACGGTATTCCTTTTTTTTTCTCGGACTTTTTTTTATTCTTCATCACGCTATTGATTTTTTTTTTGGAATTCTTTGTAGGGCAAACAAGGATGTTATTGTTTATGCTTGCGATTGTAGTGATGAGACTCTTGATAGAGCTAAGGAAATTGTAAATGCAAATGCAATTGATTCGTTTAAGCATCGTTTTCATACTTTTTCTTGTGATGTTTCCACTAATGGATTCCCAAATTGGTTGGCATGTAACACTTGTAGAGACAAATTTTTGCAAAACCAGTCAGGTTAGTTTTCTTTACGGTGATTTTGTTTATTTTTTTTAGTAGTTATTCATGTTAATGCTTGATGAAGAATTTGTTGTTTTTGGTTTCGTTTAGATGTTGAAGGGGATAATGGAATGAATGTTAAGGAGTCGTGTTCATCGGAAGGATTTGACTGTTGTGTTGGAGGAGTAGATTTTGTAACATTGGTATGATCTTTCTCTTATGTAATCATCATAAGTTTTTTTTAGCAAAGAGTAATAGCTTTTTTAATTGTAGTAATTGAGTTAGTTGTAGTTGCATTTTATTACAATGAAGCCTACTTAGTAGCTTTTTTAATATTTGTGATTTGGGAAATTGAACTGATGTATAATTCAAGATGGATCAAACTGTTAAGAAAATGGCTGGGCTTCAAACTGCTCTTTCATTATAGTTCCTTTGTACATACAGTCATGCTTTAACTTAACCTCAACACTTTCCATTTCTGTTTGTAATATGCTAGTGGCTCTTATTTGTCAGTTGCATTTATTGTTTACTACACATTTGTCGGTACTTGTATGGTTTGTTGTGTTTGTCTTGCTTGATATTTCTACACCATCACTCTGTATTCTTCCTTGTCTCAATATGGTGCATTATGTTCCTCATCCTTCATTGGTTTAATTTGGAAGATACATTAATTCATGATTTCATCTCGGTGGTTTCCATCCTTAGTTTTTAATATACTTATCAGTTTCTTTAGTATTCGGTACAATTTTCTCCGTGATTGCCTTTTGTGTGAAGTTTAATCTTCTTCCATATACAAAAGTATTGTCTTTATTCTATAAAATAAATGGTAGACTCAACTGTATGTTATTGAATGTTGATAACTTAAATGACCTCTTATTGTATATGTTGCTTATTTTTGTATAATGTCAGATATTTACTTTATCGGCAGTACCATTGGAAAGGATGCCAAGGTCTATCAAGGAATGTTTTAGTGTGTTAAAGCCCGGAGGCATGGTTTTATTTAGGGACTACGGTAATAGTCGATCTCACCATCTTATTCTTTTCAGAGCTTTTGGGCAAATAAATCTAGTGGTTTAGTAAATTCTTTATGTCACAACAGTTATTTTGAAATGTAAATTGCTGACAGTGACTGAACCCCATGTAATCAGGCCTCTATGATATGACTATGCTTCGATTTGAACCAGACAAGAGAGTGGGATTCAGGGAATACATCCGCTCAGATGGAACACGGTCATATTTCTTTTGTTTGAATACTGTCCGAAACCTGTTTTTGGGCGCAGGTTTCATTGAGGTACTTTCTTTGATTGAAAAAAAAGAGCTTTGTGTTAAATATAACTTATAATTCTCTATTTTACCTCAATATTTGTTGACTCTTGATCCTGCATAAAGTTCAATACTTGCTATGTCAAACTGGTTTAATGTATGTTTGGGTTCCTTTTTGGGAGAGCCAAAAGTGATTTAAAGGCTTAAAATTGATTTTGTTATGATTGAAGGTTCTCGTTTAGAATTGATTTTTGTTTCTCAAATTTATTGTTCAACTCACTTTACATTAATGTATCCATAATTTATTTTATATATAACTTTCTTAACTATAATCAATTTAACAAAATGAATTCAATCAAATGTTTTAATACAGAGCCTTCCAACTGTCAGTGTCAATCTTCCTATAGTTCTTCTGGTATCCAGAGTCTCAAATGTCTCTGAGGTGTTTCTGACATATTGTTTCTGCTTACTACCACTAAAGTCTGACTTTCTATGAACTCTGCAGCTTGAGCTTGATTATTGTTGTGTTAAGTCTGTGAATCGCAAGAACGGGAAGAACATGCAAAGAGTGTGGGTTCACGGGAAGTTCCAGAAGCCTGCACTGTGATAGTTTTCATGATCTTTATAATAATTGAGTAAATGCTCATCCATTTTATTACAGTGCTATAATGAGACTATTTTTGGATTCAGTAAAGTAGGAGTGAAAATAGGCAAGATCAGACTTTGTTTAAAGACCGTCTGACCTATTATTGTCAAAGACTTTGGTAAGTTTGACCTGATTTTTTTAAAAATTCGATCTGATATAGTAGTCTATTAAAAAGTCTATTTAGTTTTCAGACTTTTAAAAGGAATATTAAGCCTATTTTTAAAAAGACTAATAGCTTGATAATAGTTTTATGTTTTGTTGATAAACTTGATCTCAAAAAATAATAAAATAAAACAATAGAAGGAAATTTATGGGCAGTTGAAAAATAGCTTAGTAATGTCATGGTTGCTTAATACCATGATTAATGAAATTCGATGGCATAGTAATGTCATGGTTGCTTAATACTATGAATAATGAAATTGGAGAAAATTTATGTGCTATGACACTATAAAAGAGATATGGGATGTAGTGAAGGAAACCTATTATAATGTAGACAAATATCTACAATATTTGAAATCAAGAGCATATTCTATGATTTGTGACAAGGCGACCTCTTTGCCATAGAGTACTTACTCTCGTCATGGGGACAACTAGATGTCTAAATGTATATGATAAAATCGAATGGAATTGAAACGAGGATAAAAAGAAGCACAAAGACTTGGTGTATAGAGATAGAGTTTACACATTTTTATTGAGTTTGAACACACAACTTCGTGAAGTTTGTGGGAGAATCCTTTGAATCAAACCCCTTCTAAAATGGAAGCTTTACAAAAAAATTCTAACTCATCTCCATTTAGGAAGCAGCAAATGGAAGCTTTAAAAAAAAATCTTCAACATACCATTGGTACAACTACTGAAAATCAAAACAGTAATTTTATGGGCTTTTTTAGTCCAATCCTAAAAGCCTGCAATCCATTAGGACTAGTCCACATAGGCTGTGGTTAGCCCATTAGGTCCACATAGCTATAAATTTTTTTTTAAAATATATTAATTCTTCTATTGAATCTTTCTCTTTTAAATATTATACATTATTATAAACACTATTTCTTCGTAATCCATTAGTTTTTCTTAGGTTAAATATTGAGTATTATTTTCTACAATTTAGACATGTATTGTATTTAAAAATACATTATAATATTTATAAAAGATAATATAGTAATTAAAAATATATTATGTTAAAAATAATATAAATTTTGATTTTATTTATAATAAATATTATGTATTTTTTATTTTAATTTTTTTATTAAAAAAAGCTCGTTTAAGGCTGGTTGCCCGAAGTCCATCTAGGGCCGGGTTTAGATAGTAATTTTGAGGTTTATATTACAATAAGGATGTTTTGGCCCAATTCTAAAAAACTCAGACCTATCAGGGCCGACCCGTTTAAGGCCAGATAGTCCATTTTGACAGCTCTAGTTTTACCTTCAAAGGTGTTTATTCAAAATATTGTTGTGATTATTTAAAAAGGGAAATGCTAACAAGTGTCTTTGGAACACTCTTTAAATGTTTAAAGTAGTAAAAAAAATTTTAGAAATGCGTATAATTAATACATTAAAAATTGAAATAATTGACTTTTTGTAAAAAATATTTTCTTTATTTAATATCCTTAAAGAGTGTCTTCAGGACATTCGTTAGCACGAACCTTTAAAAAATTGTATAAACATATTAGTATTTAATAGACTTTTTGAAGAGTGTAAGTCTAACTAATTTATATGTATAAATTTTATAAATAATTTGAAGCAGTTCTAAGTAGACTCAACCATAAATCCTCTATGAAGTTATGGACTATTCTCATCTCTTAGTGATGTTAACTTGGACTTATTAATGGAGATTAATGTGGGGATTTTTCATTTGAGGTCTTAAATATAGAGAATTTTCCCTTTGTGAAAATAGGGATGGAGAATAAAGTTCTCGCGAAAGCAATTTGAGAATGGGGATGACGAACATATGTAATATTATTAAATGAGAAAGATCTAAATAATTATTTTAATTTTTTTTAAGTTTAAAAATTTGGTGTTCATGAATCTTAAAATTAAATATTGTTAAAATAATATATTTATCGTTGATGATTAGTTTATTAATTTATTGTGGTTAATTTTTGAATTTTTTTTATTAATTTAATTTAAAATAATAAATAAAAATTTATGTTTATAGATCTCAGTAGAGACTGTGGGGATCCATGAGAACGGGGATGAACGACAAAATTCTTCTGTGACGGGGATTCGAGACGGGGATGTGTTTCCAGTGATTTCTGGTAAACAACCGCTAGTCTTCCAAACTATCGAATAATCTTTCTGACTGTTATTCAATTCCTCTGGTAACTCACAGGATCGACTAGATTGATCCTAGGACTCCTTGGATATTAAGGTTACTCTTACGATCGAACAGATATTCATGGTTGATATTGTATATGTGTTTGGCTTATTTCGATTTCTCTCTCTAAAAGTCTAAAGATGCAATCAAAATGTGTGTGTGAAAACTAAATTACATGAATAAATGCTAATTGTAAAGACATGTAAAATTGCATAAAAGTGAAGTAAATGGTTTCGACTTACAAAACAGTTAATATAAAGGATTTCTGGAACGTAAAAAGTTTGAAATATGAAGAAAGCGTTTAATGCAAGAAATCTTTAAATGACTTTAAGTAAAAATATGCGTTCGAAGGATAAGACTTGAAGGTAAAGGTATGGAAAATATGACAGTTTTCTGAGATATAAAGTGCTTGAAATATGAAGAAAACATTAAAATGTAAAACTTTGAAAAAGAGATTTCGAAGTGAAAAGACTGTAAATGAGAAAACTTGTAAATGTTATTTGACAAAAGGATAAAGGAAAGTGCTGGAAATGGTAAAAGGTTTTCATTAAATCAGAAATACATGGTGCTATCATACATACATTTCTCTTGCATTCGTTTCCCTTGCCATGTGGTAGTTTGAATGTTACTGAGTATTTTGTATAATAGATATGACACACAAAATCCTAATACTAAGACTTCTATTTATACTAATTCGACCATAACGGTCTTGCTATAGGATTATGCCACGTTTAGAACATGCAGGACAATGCTTCTTTCGTCTTTCCACGTGTTCCCAAATGCTCCAGCACATAACTTTCAAACTTCGAAAGTCCCGCTTCCATTTGAATTTCAAATGCTTTGGTACTTCTCCGTTTCGAACGCTCTTCCCAGACACAGCCTTGTTGTGATTTCGAGACTTCTTTAGATATGTTCCCATAATTGCCACTCGAAGCTCCAAGCTTTGACATACTTATTCGAAACACTGCTTCTGCTACTTCGAAACATGACGCTTTACCTCATTTCGATCAAAACGTTTAATTCATTTGGCTTCTAATAACATTATCAAAATCTTCAGCCAACAAATTGCCCCTTTAAAATATGTATTTCGATTCCTCTGAGAAATACCTATTTTAAACACCTACACAAGATTTTGATGGGACTTTCGAATCATCGTAACATTTAATGCATTTGACTCCAGTCACGTCAATCATAGCACCTTTTGGATTCCTTAACCGCCTGGAGCCACTTCACAGCATGGTGCAGTTACAAATAATGATTATCTTTAAATCACGCCTATTACCCATGTTAACTCTACGCCACCTCTTCATCACACCAACCCATGATCTCCACGTATCACATCTTTATTCGGTGGATGCTTAAACTTCCCCATTATAAAACATCACCAACTTAATCTTTTTCTTTTCTTTTCACACTCTAAATCTTTTACCCTCCTTCTCTCGTAAAAAAAATCCAAGCTTTCAACATCTTTCAAAAATGTCTTCTTCTACTTCATCCCAACTCAAGAAAGTCTCCAAGAAGAAAGGAAAAACTGCAGGAGCTACCATGGAAAGTAAAATCATCACTCACCAAGGTCAATCCGTTCTTGCCCCTCAGATGATTTCAAAAGAAAAAGAAATGATGTATGCGTCACAGGTACTCATTCCTACCAACGTTGCTGGTAAGAGGTTAGCTTTAAATGGCCCTCTTACGGTTTTTGAAATATTAAAAGACACCAAGACGATTTTCCCAGTTTGTTATAGCTTCAAACCCTTATTTAACAAAATGGACGCCCCTAAGGCAGTAGAATCTCCTAGTTCAAATACCATAGAAACCCCAACTGTTCCTCCTAAGGACCCCTTTGTTTTGGATTATGTAAAAAGTAATTTTAAGCCATTTCGATCTTGCCCCACCTCTGATATTGCTTATCAAAATTGGTTCACGAAAGTAGAAGCTAAGAAATCCCAGCAATGGGAAGAATTAGGCATCTATAACCTGATTAAACTATCGAAGCCTGGTTTCACCTACAACCACCCTCTGCTATTCGCGTCCCTTTATTTCTGGGACAGTACCTATAACACTTTCCATCTCCCAGGTGGAATGATCACCCCAACCTTCTTCGACATAGCGGCCATCACTGGGCTATCGCCAGTGGGAGAAACTTATATACCCGACAACGAAGAACACTCAAGCATAATTGACTTCGAAGTCAAGCTAGCCAGTTTTTCCAAATTTATCAGTCATTACCATGCTGAGGGGGACAATGTGTCTGACGTAGAGCACATTGCTTTCTTAACCCTGTGGCTGTCAAGATACGTTTTCTGCAGTAGATCCCTACAGGTAGCTAGTAGGTTCATTCCTCTAGCTAGGGACTTGCATGAAAATCGAAAAGTGTGCCTAAGTGAACTGCTCTTAGTTGACCTTTATGAAAGCCTGAGGTCAGCTGTTTCGAGCCTCAAATCCCACACCTCCAAAAATATTCTATTGGCTGGCCCTTTTTGGTTACTCCAACTATGGCTAAATGCCATGTTCGAACCCTCCTTATCAACCGCCAACACCATTGATGAGCAAGATTCTGAGATAAATGATAGGATAGTCGAAGGCACTAGGCTTCGAAGATTAACTCCTAATGACGACAAAGATGACTTCAAAGTTCAATTCTCGAAGTACAT